TGCCGCTCGGCCGGTAGTGACCAAAGTGGGCCGAGGGTGGCACCGCGCTGTCATCCGTAGAGACACCGGGAAAAGCACCCCGGGGCCGCCCCGCCGTGCTCTGCTTTCCCCCCATCCAAAGCGGGGAGAGGAGTGGGTGGGGGTTCTGGGTGGGTACAGGAGGGGGCTCGGCTCGATCCGCAGAGGGCAGGCTGTGCCCCCCTCCCCTCGCTCCTGTCTGTCTGTCGGCCTGCCTGCCTGCCTATCCGTCCGTGTGTGTCGGCAGGCTCGTCAGCTCTGGCTCTCCGCAGACGCAACAGCCCGTTTCCCTGCTGAGCGGAACATGAGCCAGCCCTGACGTCTGGATTCACCTCACCCGCACACACCACCGGGAGGAACGAGCGGAGAGCGTTTGACTGACGCCGAAATCCGCGCTCTGCGAACAGATGCGCGCTGCGCTGCTGCCCTGCTGTCCCGGCTGGTTAACGCGGCTGTCTCATCGCAGGCGGCCGGCCCGGATCACAGCAGCGCCGCAGTGTTCCCTCCGCTGCTCTGCCCTCATCTGATCTCAGACATCGTGACAACTGTTGCTGTCTGTCTGACCGCCAGCAAAACGACGGTCTGTCTCTGACACACACACGCGCGCACACACACAAATAAATGACGTCGTCCGTCCGGTCTGGTGGGCTCGCTTTTTTTCCCACCCCCCGGAGATCGGGGTCACAGTGAAGCCGCTCCCCTGCGCTCAGATCGGCGCTCCGCTCCTCTCCGCTCCGCCTCAGCCGCTGCTGCTGCTGCTGGCCAGACAATGGACGCGCTTAGTGCGCAGGCTCGGATCATAAATACAGACAGTATGGGAGACAGATGCACGCCGTTTCTAATTCCCCGACATGGGATTGGCCTGTTTTTCTTTCTTTTTTTTCACATGTTGGATTATGGGGCATTTTAGGACAGGACAGGTGTGACGGCGGTGGAGGGGGAACGCACCAGGTAGCCGAAAGAAAAAGCAAACAAACAAAGGAAACAAAAGAACTGACATAAAAATACACAAAGACAGAATAATTTTAAACTGCTCTGACAGATCGCTCGTTAGTTATCGTCCAGTATCTGTCCTGTCACAGATATATCGGCTCCAGCTATGAAGTTTCTACATTATCAGACAGTCACTTTATGGTTATGTGGTATCGTGCTGGATTTTGGACGAATTGAGGAATAACTATCTATATGAGAAATTAAAAAATGTCACCAAACAGTCTGAAAATGATTTGAAAATCCAGTCAAGTCTTTAAGTTCTGATGATTTTCATGGTGGGCTGACCTCCAGAATAAAGTCCGTACAGCAGCATTAATATGTTTAATTCCACTGACATCCTTTCAGTTCACCTTTGCAAGGTAAAAGATGCAGCAGGATGTGGACCGAACCACTTTGAGGTTTATGAAGGGGAGTCCTTGTTTGTTAAAACTTTGAACTCTATTGTTTTTACAACTCCAGAGCTGTATATCATATTTTTGTGTTCACCATTATAAAACTATGGTTTACAATGATGCACTGAGGAGGAAAGCACTGTATATAAACAGTCACAGGTCTTAAAGAGTCTGGATTAAAACATTCTGGGAATATATCTGAATGGTTGGTGAATCCCCTCTCAGATTAAATTCTTAATTAAAACATTAATTAACCCCTTTTCTTCTGCATCGTCGATGCTCCTCTGCTGCTGCCCCACAAGGTCAGGCCTTAAGTCTTTAGTCCTGCAGACTGATGTCATTACCAGGCTATTCACAGATTTTGCCACCATCCTGTATGCTAAGTTATTGGGATCACTGGTGACCATGTTTGGTTTGGGATTAGGCCTGCTCCGTTTAATCCTACATGTGTGTGTCTGTGTGTGTAATTAGGCTGGTTATTTTCTCCTTGGCTCTTTGTTCTTCCACAGTAAAACAAAGTCAGACTCGTGCAGCCTTCTTGGGTTTACTACCCAATAAGGTAAACTATTGTTGAGTACTTACAGTACAGTAGGTGTTAATCTATCCGCTATAATGACAGCAAGCCTATAAATGGATCCCTCTCTGCTCCACAGGCATGTAAACACACACAAAGCCAGACACACGCAATCAGCTCCAGCTGATTTAAAGCACCGCTGCAAAATAGTGGAATAAGGGATAAAAACAAAAATACAGCTTAAAGTAAAAAATCCCTGAAATGAGGGGCAAAGGTCAAAATACAGGCCACATTATTAAATCAGGCTAATGAATACATTGTTAAAGAAACAGTGGTAATGTACAGCTCCATGGTTAGCTACTATTAATAAATAATTATCTAAAGGCACCAAGTTATGATGACATATTGTTACTGTTCTAGATAGACTACAATAGCCCTTTATTGTCATTGTATATGTACAACACAAACTGTGAGGGCTCCTCATGAACTCACAATAATTAAAAAAAACTGGGTAGAAGGAGTTGGGGGTAATATTTCGAGAAAAATGTTTTTTAGGGCTTAAAGTCATACATTTATAATAAAACACTGAGAAATCTTAGAGGAAGATTAAAAACCTGAATATTCTATAAGATTACAAAGGCTGCTGTCCAGACCCTGCAAATTCAAGGAATATGGGAACCGCAACATACAGAAATAATAAATATAAATGTAAAATTTATTTTCTTCCAAAGAAAATAAAGATTTTTATTTATTTATTTTGTTAATTTCAGAATAGCCCCACGTCTCATCCCATTACAGCTGCTGTGATAGGCTCTAATGCAGTACTAAGAAGTAATAAATAAGCAAATATGGATTCAATTAGTCAGTTAGACATGAAATATCTAATTCACTTGTAGTTTTGATTTTCAGTATTAATGCTCATAAAGGTAATGGATGAACGCTTAAAACAGTTATGATGACAGCATTCAAAATGTAAAAACAGTTAAGTAAATGTAAAGTATATAATAACAAAGCAAAAAAATGAGCCATGTTAGATAAATATAAAACACTGAAACATGAGCAGTGTGTTGGTGATTATACTAATATGACAGGTCTGGATAAAAGGCCCAAAATGAGTAGAAATCACTGGTGTAGAGGTTTAACATGAGATCTTAGTAACACTGATAACAGACAGCAGCACACACAGAATGTAAAATGAATAAAAGAAACAAGGTTTGTTATACAGTCTCCACACAGGAAGTACAAATTAGAAGAGGAAAAACTGCTTTTTGACACAGAGGATAAGAAATCAACTTGTTAGTAAAACTAAAATGCTTCCCTTGCTTCTCACTCTCTCTCTCTCTCTCTCTCTCTCTCTCTCACACACACACACACACACACACACACACACACACACACACACACAC